GTGGGGGGGGGGGGGGGGTTGTAATTTTGACGAGGTAATCCACTTGCAATTCATGCTATTTCTTGATATATCGATTGAGCTATGATTAGCTAAGATTAAAACGATAGAATTCAGAAAAATTTTTGTGTGACTAACGATAAGCCAGGCTTCCACTTCATAGCGTTTGTTTGCTCTGTGATTTTATCGCACGTCATGATCTATGTACATTGGGAATATCGCATTACGTTTTTCATACTGTTATCGCTATTGAGTTGTACATGAATATTATAGTTCAAAATGATGTTTGCAAAATGACGATAGTCCACGCTGGTATTTTCTGAGAACCGATCGCAGACAAAACGCTGACATTTTTATATGTTGCCATTTCTCGGATGCATCCCTCAGACATTTTCAAGCACAGCTGATAAACTTTTTGCAGTATTTATCTGATTTGTTCAAAAATTTTGATGTGTGCGTTTTAATTTATGATCGACTGGCGCTCATCTGTTGTCTGTGCAGATTTTTCAAAAGGTGTCAATCATTTAAGTGCACGCGTTTTTCGCCTTCTCATACATAAAATATGCTGAGGATGTGGATTCTTTTGATGAGAAAAATTAATTTCGAGTGTCTGAAAGACAATCTGACGGAAAAAGTTCATTTGCTAAAAGCCATTCGAACTGCCATTAAATGAGTTTTGAGCCAAACCGAATCTTTTTTCCTGTTGCTATTCTTGTCATAGTGCTCACTCCGAACAAAATATCACTCCTGTAAAATTAACCATTAACCACTGACCATTTTCATCGTTCAAGTGAACAAATTTTACAGGGCGTCGGTTTTGTGAGTACGTTATACACAACGCTCGGTGGAATAAAAGCTGTTATATGGACAGATGCACTTCAGGGTGCTTTCATGTATGTGGGTCTGTTTACGCTCATTATCAAAGGCACCATCGAAGTTGGTAAGGTGAAAATTTAGTTTTGCAAATTTGAATCAACCTTTGATTAAGCAAAATGCAATTCCTTACATTAGTAAGAAGTGCGTTTTTTCAGTCAAAAGCGAAAAAAATAAGCCATGAATTCGAAATTCAATGGAATTTTACGAAATGTTGCTTTTTTTTGAACTTTTCATTTTTTCGACTCTCTTTGAAAGTCAACGAATTGCACAGAGTTACTTAAGGTGGCATATCGAAAGTTTTCGAGACAAGTTATGAAACGGGAAGACTCACGAAAGCTATGGCACGATTCAGTCCGACACCGTTTCAGGTGTTCTTTGGGTTTATTCCTTCCCAGTTTTTTTTTTCATCGCTTGTGGATGATTCTTCTTTTAATCAATCACAGAATTCTTGTGATGCAACGAGAATTTACTTTGTCGTGCTGTCACCGTGGGTCATCATTGTTTTGTCACCTTCATCGAATTGCTGTTCAGTAATGAAATTGACAATGTAAATTTTTTTCTGCGAAAAGAGTCGTTTGGGGTTGAATTCTCCGAAATTTTGATGACTCAAATCATGATTGGTCTGATCGCAGACGTACTCGGAATGCCACTAGCGAGGCCGTGCAGAATGATGTTTGAATGTTACAGTACCAAAGCGTATGGATTATGTTGTTTGGTACGTTTATGGATTGGATGTCATATTATGGACTCAATCAAATGGCACTTCAGCGCTATTGTTCGATGCCATCCTTGAAAAATGCTCGTATTGTCATGGCAATGACTGTGCCCGCGTTCACTCTTATTGGTTCGACTTTCCAAATGAATTATTTCATTAACGAGTCATTCCGACAGTGATCTGCGATTCAAATTAGTGCGTGCAGTTGCGAACTTTGAACTGGTAGAATGCTCGATTTTCATGTGAGATCAGAATGAAAGCGTGAAATTATCGATGTTCTCACTCGTTTCGATCACCTTGCTAGTGCCTCCAATATGTACGGGCTTTTGAACTTACCCAACTGGTAAGTTCAATTTAGTTTTTATTTTAATGTTATCCAACTTAAAGGCAATTACGAGCGATCTTTTAGGATGGATGTGCTGTTACATTGGTTTACTGATGTTGACGTATTTTTCCGGATGTGATCCACTTCTCACCGGTGAAGTGTCTACGAAGGATGAAATGAACGTATTGATGGCCACTAGAATTCTAAGTGAGCATTCTTCAGCTAGTGAATGTCGTCTCATTTTATTGCATGTATTCCCGAAGCATTTGATTCTTGCAAATTTCAGGTTTCTTACCGGGATTTCAAGGCTTGTTTCTGTCATCGTTATTCTCATCGACGTTGAGTACAGTCTCCTCTGGGATGAACTCAATGACAGCCGTTATCTATGAGGATTTCATCAAGGGTTCAACGCATAGAGCAATTAAAGACAGAAATTCGACTTGTGTGAATCGAATGATAACACTGGTTATTGGCATTCTAACGACGGCTCTTGCGTTTGCATGTCAAGTACTCGGTGGAACATTCAATGTTCGTTATTTTTGAGTTGTTGGACAGTTTTTTGGAAAGTTTTTCAGGAACCATTTCAGCATTGAGTTCTCAATTCATTTCGCAATTCAAAATATTTTCATCGCTTTGATGAGGGTGTGAAAAATTCATAAGATAGTATTTGTGGCATTCTGTAAACATTTGTTGAGCCACTCACGTGTTGTTGTTAAGGCGGCTACCTCAACTCTGGGCGCAACGGCTGGTCCGTTAGCTGGTGTTTTCTGTCTTGGAATCTTCTTCCCGAAGGCCAACAAATATGGCGCTTTCATTGGTTTAGGTAAGCTCAACTAGCTGTCCAATGATTTTCTTTTGAAACTCAATGAATTTTACAATTTTCATGCGTCTATTCGAAACGAATTTCATATAGCATATCATAGCTTCTCATATTGAAAGTGATCAGAGATAATGAACCAGATGAGATCAAATTGTTGATTCTAGTTACTGGCAATACTATATTATGAATCAGTGAGCTTATCGAACATCATACTATGCTGTTATTTCAAAGACTTTTTGTGAAATGAATGTTTTCCAAGAGTTGTCGTTTTTTTTNTTTTTTTTCCTAAAAGTATCATTATTTCCTACGCATAAGGCAAATTCAATAAATCATAATACGCTTTCTTAAAGCATGCTCAATACTGCTGACAGTGACATGCTCGACCTCATACAATATTGTAAGGCAATACGATGACTACATGTATCCGTTGCCAACTGAACGAAGGTGTGTCTAATCAAATGAACAATTTAATTTTCCAATTCATTCTGCAGATTCGTGACAATTTTTGAATTTTTCCTTCATGAACATTAAACAATGCAATATTTCTCAATCATACGTCGTGTGCGATGAATTTCTACATTTGCTTGAGGTCACACTTGCTATCAGCCATTATAACCAGTCTATTGCTGATATTGATGTTGAAACCGTTTTCGACAGCACTTCAACTGATTTCGACAGCAGTTTGAATTGTTCTCCGCTTTGCTACATTGTCAAATTGGATTCAATGTCTTTGGTATACAAAGCGATTCGCGAAACGCAATGCAAATATGTTCATCTCATGTTATTTAAAGCGCAGTCATTAAAAACTCGTTAAAAAATCGCTCAGTTTCAGTCCTACGTGTTCGAATCTTTCGATGTCGAAAAATCCATACTTGAACTTGAACAACTCGGAAACATTCCACGATCGATCGGATCTTCATTTCGGTCGATCAGGCACGCTCATATTCTCTCAAGTGTCAGTGTTTTTATACGCTGCAATAGGTATGTACATCATCCCTTTATAAACTCAACAAATTACGCTCGTTTGCTGTCTTATAATTATGACTGTAAAATCGTTTATATCTGAATAAATGAGGAAATTGCACAAATCCCGCTGAAAAGAACAACGTTGAGTTGCGCTCAAAGAGTCGAAAAGCCTCTCTCAAAGCGCTAAAAGAGTCTCGCGTTGAACAGTCATAAGTATCCTCAATCGTCTCGATTCTAACTCAGCACATCGGCAAACTTTTGTTCAGCATTTCAGTAAATTCCAATTCAGCTGAAATTCACTTTCTTTTCCAATATTTCCCGCAAAATTCTTTTATTCAAACAAAGTGCACCAAATCAATATCGATTACTGATCACTGATCGACTATTTCAACAAAAAAAAAACCGATTCATTTTATTGTTCCTTTATGTCGAGAAACGCAAACCAGTTTTCAGGTGTTTGTAGCGTTTTCGTGATTGGCGCCATCGCCAGTCTTCTGTTACCCTATAACGCTGATCCGGCTAAGAGGCGGATGGCATATGCCTGTACATATAAGGGTTTGAAAGTACCGTTCCGACGAGTGAATCGCTCGACCAACTACAAAGTTAATCTCGACCAAATAAAACCTCTCGATAAAAGCTGAGCCTTGTAAACACAGTGGTAATTGATTGAAAAGTGAAATGATTCAAGTGGATTAAAACTGAACTCGTTATCAATTCCGCACTACTCAAATAAAATGTGATGTATCGATGAGTTTTTGTTGTTGATGAGAAATTTCACTTATTTACGTGGCTATCTTATCGCGAGTTAAAGATGATGGAATGAACAAGTTTTTGATGTGTTATTCTCTCAAATATCACCTCAACAGTAGAATTATCAGGTGATTCCATTAGTATTTGTTGATCCACATACACTCGAAACACTTCATTTTCATTTAGTCTCCATCATTTCCTCTTCATAATAATAACAATAATAATAAGGTCTACATTATCATCTGTTTTTCGCATGTGTATCATTTGTTATGGTCGATCAGTTGGCTTGCCTCGAGCAAACAAAACTGAATCGAAAAAGATGTCCGAAAGTATCGCATCTTACTTTTGAAGATAGGTAACTGAACGCATTCATCATCATCATTTTTATCAGTACTTTATTGACGTCTTCTGACGAAATCAATGACTGTAAAAAACAAAACAGTTACAACAGTGGAAGAAGAAGAAGAACTTCATCGCCTCTATGTTTTGTTTTTGTCATATAACAGCGCAAAAACATATTTCTCAAATCCCTTTCCACTAACGAAACGAAGCATTGAAGTGTGTCGGAACGGTCTTCTTATGCCAGTCTTCTTCGAGCAAATACGAGATGACTGCTGTTGTTTTGAGAGAGAGCATAAGAGATGTTTTTGATGAAGCTAACGACAACTGAGACTTGTGATGAGTGTGCGTGCGACATGATCTGA